AAGTAACAACGCTGCGACACTGGCTATGTGATCTCCGACAGTGGAGTCTTGAGTCACAACGGTCTGGCACTGTGTATGAGCACTCCGAGATGCGCTCTTGCACTATGTAAATGCGCTCCGACAGTACAACACTTTGTAGTCACAGCGCATCGGCACTGTCTATGTGCGCTTCAACAGTGGAGCATGAATCATTGTGCTCTAGCACTGTCTGAGTGCGCTTCGATAGTGGAATCTGGAGTAACATGCTCCGGCAGTAGGTATGTGCGCTCCAGTTGTAGGAATGCACTCGACACTATGTAAGTGTGCTTCAGCAATGCAACACTCTTGAGTCACAATGCTCCGGCACTACGTGTGCTCCGCGTCGGCACTTTTTAAGTGCGCTCTGGCAGTGGAATCTGGAGTCAAGGGACTCCGGAACTGTGTATGTGCACTCCGACAATAGGTGATGCGCTCCAGCACTGTGTAAGTGTGCTCTGGCAGTACAACACTCTGGAGTCACAACGCTTCGGCACTGTCTATGTAAGCTCCGACAGTGTCTATGTGTGCTTCAGCACTGTGTAAGTGTGCTCCGGTTGTGTAATCTGGAGTCACAACTCTCCAACACTGTGTATGTCCGCTTCGGTAGTGGATCATGCGCTCCAGCACTGCGATGGTTCGCTTCAGCAGTGGAGAACTCTGGAGTCACAATGCTCCGACACTTTGTAAGTGCGGTCCGGTAGTGGAGCACTCTGGAATCATAGTGCTTCGGCACTATGTAAGCACGCTCCGGCAGTGGAACATTTTGGAGTCCCAGGACATTGGCACAGAGTAAGTGCGGCCCGACAGTGGATGATGCTCTGACATGGTGGAAGTGCACTCCAACAGTGGAGCACCAGCATTGTCTATGTTCGCTCCGGCACTGGATCATGCCCTCCCACATTGTGGTGGTTCGCTCTGGCAATGAGTTCCGAAAGTCAATGTCAAATATGGAGAAATTGATTTTTGTGTATGGGAATGGCATTCCATCTACAAAAAATGAACTTTTTCCCTTGGGGGGGTATTTGCATAGAAAGTAAGTTTTTGAAAAACAGTGAGAAAAATTTAGGTTGGGGGTAAGTTGCATAGAAAGTGTGGTCTGGGGGCGTTTTATAATTTTCTCAAGTATTTTTATGTGTACGAACTGCATACTAATCTAGTATTTTACTAAGGGAGTAATGGAAAAGCTATTTATGCTCCCCCTATAGCATAGTAGTTCTATCCTCCCCCACATTTTTAACCATTGATTGAGAATGGAGGGTTGACATTCATTCACTCAAGTTATCACAAAATGGGGGGCACGGGATCAACCAGTAACCCATTTGAAATAAGTCCGTAGTAGAGAGAGAGAAACCCATTTTTAGAGAGAGAGAAAGCACGGGAGAAGAACGGGATAAAGGGTTTCTTGGAGGAGAGAGAGAACGCAGAAACCAGTGCGAGAGAAAGAGAGAGTACACACTGGTAAAAGAGGGAGAGAGGGCTTCTTGGAGAGGAGAGAGAGCACACACCATTAAAGAGGGAGAGAGAGGCTCTTATAGAGAGAGGATAGTTCTTCTATGCTATAGGGAAACCATAATAAGCTTTCCCGAGAGGAAGAGAGAAAGATTTATTTTTCTTCCAGAGGATTAGGGCAGGAAGGTCTTAGAGAGAGAGAGTCCAAAGGAGGGCAGGAAACAAGAAGATTCTTGAAGAGGAGTGAGAAAGAAGTTGGGCCCAACCCATGGTGACCTCTTTTCTCTCAAGGCCAAGAATTACTTCGCCAGAAAACAGAAATCCCCCCTTGGCGATTGGCTCTTGAAGCCACTTGTGGTTGATTGGTTGTAGTCGAGTGTGTGGCTCGACAATTTGCTCGGTCATCCCGACAACAAGGTTGCCGCTGCTCTTCGTCGTACTCAGCCCTCTAGGGCAGCACCCAAGGCTCTCATCTTCACAGTTAATTTGCAGATCTCAGGTTTGATATTTTTCTATTTTCCTTTTTATTTAATTTTAGATGTGTGTTTGCATGTGTGTATGTTTTAAAGTAATCTCTCTAGCATCATTTGTGAAATTTATTTCGTTTTGCTCTCTCTCTCTAGCATTATTTGTAAACTATAGAGTTGTTTATTATCTCTCTCTATCTATCTTTGTTTCTTGAATGATATTAATTGTGTGAAATTTAGAGCTATGAATGATTGATAGATGTTTTCTTATGTGAAATTTGAACAAAGTGGTGTCTTTTTTTTTTTAAGATGCCTTGGAGCTTAGTAGTTCTTGCAATTTTATGGAAATTTGGAGTTGAGTATTGTTGTCTATGTTACTTTTTTTAATCCATCTTGGTAGGGCTGCTTGCTTTTTTGTGAAATTTTTTTATTGCTATTTTTTTTGTGAAATTTGGAGGTTAGTAGTGTTTCTATGCAATTTTTAGAATCCGTTAGGCATAGGATTGCTTCCATTTTTTCCTAAATCTGAAAGTTGAGGTAATGGTTTCATGTTTGTTTTTTGGAGCCATTGAGGGGAATTTTTTTTTTATGAATTTTGAACTAATTGTCCTTATCATTTTTTATGAATATCAGGGCCAAGTAATATCTTTTAGTTAATTTGTGGATCCTTTGAAACTGTGGTTGTTGCATTTTTTTTGTTGAAGCTTTGAACTAATAGTATTTCTTTTGTCATTTTAAGGATCCATGTTGATAAGGGATTCTTGTCTTTCATCATTGAGTAGGACACAAGTTGCGAATTTACGAAAGTGGGCTACTAGTTTTAAGCCTTGCTCCAATTAAAAAAAAAGAACAAAAAGAAAAGAGAAAACAAGGCACCCTCTTAAATTGGGCTTTTTTTTATTGAATAATGGTTGCTTATCTCAATGAATTACTTAATCGAACTCTTCTTTGCTCTGCCTAATCATATGCGGTGTGTTTGCTTTGTAGATTGCATATACCGACGCCTCGAATTTATCAACAATATTATTTATCAGAAAGGAAAAATGTTACTTATTTAGCTTCCTTTCATAACATCCAAATACTGATTTTTTCTCATATGAACATTCTTAGGATTAAGAATTGTATCTCATTGTTTGCAATGTTAATCTTTTTTACTTTCTTGTGATCATAATGTTGAGGATTGATATCTTGTATTCTTAGGAAATAGATCTGCCAAGGTGGAGTAAAAAGCCTGAAGGTCCGAAGGCTCAGAGGAGTCGTCCTGATAGGTTGACTCGATGGCCTCGGCCCATGTGGGGGTTCGGGGGCGGCAGCCTCTGAGGAAAAAGTCAAATATATCTATACATGGGATTCAATATATATGGGACTTAATATATATTCGTATAAAGGTATTTTGGTAATTTGTACCATCTATCTAAAACTCGATATATATTGTTGCGTTTGGGGGTTTATCTAGGGTTAAGGGAAGGACGCAGATTACTATGTAATAAGAGAAGTGTGAGGAAGAGAGTTTTTTGTAACCCTATTCTCCATTGTCAATAAAGAAGTTCTCATCTCTCGTAGACGTAGGCACGTTGTCGAACCACGTATATCATTGCGTTGTGGTTGGTTGTCTCTTTCTTTTGTGTTTGTTTCTTCTTTCGAGTTTTCGTGGATTGCTTTTCGTTTCTACATATAATATAACAATAATGTTTTTATTACTTTTAATCTCTTGAAACACGAGGGCGCAAGCACCACAGTGTAGTATTCTACTTTGCATCAGATGATGCCTTACTTCTTGACTCATTACACTATAAATTCATGCATGGTGACGACGCATTCCAGAACGCATCATGAGGAACCCAGATGGGAACTTCCACTAAGGGTGAAAGGGAAGGGTGATTGCGGCCTCTTACATATTTGTAATTTAAAGTCTTGTAGTTGGATATGTACAAACTCAGCGTTGCAGGCGTATGTTGATGTAGTATCTTGCCCTCAAACTCTATGTATGTGTAACATGTATTTAAGACAGTAACCTTTCTCAAATGAATTCTATTTCTTACATTTTGTCTTTTTCTTGGTGAATTGGGAGTTGAGACAATATCTTTTTCAAGTGAGTTCTATTTAAGACAGGACCCTAAATACACACTAATTCTTTTTGTGAGAATCATGGATTGCAATTCAAGTTCTTCAAACTGTGTTCCCATGGAATTTTTTTTCGATTCAAGCTTGGTGTTTCCTTTTGATCCAGGGAATTTGGTCTAGGTAGTGAAAATGTTAAAATGGGTAATCAGTGGTAGTTTTAATTACTTCTCATAGTACTATAATCAAATTTGGGTAATTTTCTGAGAGCATGTATGCTTCTATCTTGATATCTACACTTACCTGATACTATCTAGTGTATGAATTTGGGGAAATTAGAAATGGCATTTCTAACTGACATAAAGTAGAAACGACGGCTATCTCCACTCTCATACTATTTGGTGTATGAATTTGGTGTACTATTATTTTAGTATTAAAAGCTAAGGAGTAGTATTGGAAGCGCAAACCATCCATAGAGTTCGTACGAGGGAGAGAGAGAGAGAGAGAGAGAGAGAGAGAGAGAGAGAGAGAGAGAACAGCGACACACACAACCAAGAGTAGAACGAAGAGAAGTAAGAGTAGACGTAGTACAGTAGAGTAGCGTAGAAGAGTACTACTAACTATTAGTTT